AATGCAACTAGCACCAAATTTCGATGTGCCTTGCAGCCGCTGCAGCCTCCAGTGTTGAGCTTCCAACTCGAAGCTGCAGATCCAAATCTGTGGGTCTCAGCCTCATTCCTTATGCCACGGAGGCGCGATTTCGCTTAAGCCTCTGACTCTCGATTCCTCGATTCTCAACTTTGAGACCTGCCCGAAGCCCTGAATCCTGATCCACCACATCTCGATCCCAAAGCCCCGAATCTTGTTTGCTCGGCAGTCCCACAAACCGGACATCCAACTGGACAAGCTGCCTCCTATCGAGGAGACATGGGCCGCTGAGATGTAAAGGTGCTAGTTGGTCTTGGGTTCGGGGCACCAGCAGCTCGCGGTGGTCATGGTGCTGAGATCATGTTTACGAGCATGCTGATGCCGAAGATGGTCATGTCATTCCGATGCTGCTGGTGATTGTGGTACAGAGGTGGAGAAGGAGCGAGGGCAGGATGCTCATCGAAATTATCAGACTGTCATTATCATCGTCAGTCATCATCATCGTCGCCATCACCCTCATCACCATGATGAAGTTGATGAGTATGCTGTTGATGTTGTTGATGGCGATGATGATGATGGTGATGATGATGACGACAACTGGTACTGGTGTTGGTGGTGGCGGTGGTGGCGGGGTGGTGGTTGGGGGTTGGCGATTGGTGGTTGGTGGTTAGTGATGGTGGTGGTGGTGGTGGTGGTGGTGGTGGTGGTGGTGGTGGTGGTGGGTGGTGGGTGGTGGGTGGTGGGTGGTGGTGGGTGGTGGTGGGTGGTGGTGGGTGGTGGGTGGTGGTGGGTGGTGGGTGGTGGGCGGTGCTTGGTGGTGGTACATGAAAGCAAATTGATCGCTACCTTGAATGACGATGATGTCGATGAACTGTGGTCATGACGGCGTTGATGACGGTTGTGGCGATGATGTGGATAGACGTCGTGGTGCTGCTGGTTGTCGCGATGATGTTAATGTTGGTTTTTATTAGGACGACGAAGATGAATCGAACCTGATGTTTCTTACCACGAAGATGATGGCGGTGGTGTCCGGGGCAGTCATGATGACCACGGTGGTCTTTAGGATGGCTTACACGACGATTACAACCATGATCACCATGACCACCATGATGGTGGTGAGCGTGATGCTGGCGGTGATGATGATGATGATGATGATGATGATGATGATGGTAATGGCGATGATGTGATGATGCGGGATTAAGATGATGAGGACATCAATGATGATGATGATGATGATGATGATGATGATGATGATGCGAATAGTAATATGCATCATGATGACGGGCTCTGCACATGATCATTCAGAGAACTTGTATGCACGGTTTTGCATGAGAGTTGTGCTGGGGTGCAGCATCTGCGGCTCCATTGTCAATACTTCGAAGAGCATGTGACCTATGTACTCAGCCACGTATTCTGGGCTCTAGACCTGATGGGCAAGGCTGGGTTTTTCAGCTTTCCTCCCTGCAGGATGTCTATAACAGGCAGTACTCCGGAAACGTGGACGACGATCCCGTCGGCGGCCGCAAGAGGCACCGTTGCGAGCGACTTGTAGGGCAGCCCAGTCCCCAAAAGAGAAGCAAATCAGATCTTGTTTTCAGGTATACCTACTGGGTGATGTTCAAGCGGCCTGCAATGCCTGGGTCTTAGCTGCAGGTGAGAGACACTGAAACCGTACTTGCATACACAATGTACAGATCTACATGTTTTGTCACACCAGTTCTTGCCCTTCAATGATTCAATGTCTACGAGTCTACAACTGCCTATACATAAGTGTACCCTCGAACGTCTGATATATATATATATATGGTATACATAGATTTGCATACACACGTACATACATACACACGGGTGTACATACATTTATATCTACACATAATACCACCGGATCTCTCTCCCTCCCTCCATATGTAGGTATGTTTAACCACCGAATCTCAAATGCCAGACTGTATGGAAGCCGAGTATAGCATGCTGCAGTGTGTGATGGTACATCATCACAACGTGCGGCAACCATAAATTGTTTCTTCCTATTTGCACACATGTGCAAGTTGGTCTGCACGCATATCTACTTCATCATCCGCAGTTCTATACCAGAAGATCACCAAGTTCAACCATGTACCAGACGCGTTGTTGCTTAAGGCGGACCTCCACCGACATGAAAAGGATTCTGGCGGAGTACATGTTTTTCTTCAAGCTCTTGCCTCGGTGTAGGAACTAGGTGGAGGTTTCGACGGCACATTGGGGCTGCGGCCCATCGCTGGAGGCTGGAGTGGTATGGCCACAGTTGCTCCGCATTTTTGTATTTTGTTCCACCAGCTTGGGCCTTGCTAGGGTTTAGGGGGTTGATGTGTTACTTCCAGTTTGCGGTTTAAGGCATAGTTGCCGGTGTTTGTGATGCTTGTTTGGGGACCGCAACATCTTCTATTTGGCAGTGGTGTGGCTTGTGTTTCCAATCACCACCTGACCAGCAATCGAACAGCTTTCAGAACTCTCACGCCAAGCACAAGCCTGGCTGGCAATGTCTTGAAGCCTCTAGGCAGGTAGGCTCTTGTTAAACCATTGCCCTAAACCCCAAACCCCCAGACCCTCAGCGAACGGTCAGTTTCTGTGCTTTTGCTTCCTTTCAGCAGCATCTGCCCCGAGGAAGAAGATGTCCTGCAGGAACATCAGGATCACCCCCAGGCCTGTTGCAGAGCGATCATCGACCCTGACGTTTGATTCTTTTTGCGACGGATGTCTGGTCTCGGGCTCGGGTGCATCGAATGCAGGAAGAGCCCCATCGACAGACAATCCGTGGTCAGCCTCGAATATGAGATGAAGGAGTATGGAGAGGCCCGTGGTTGAGCTTCAGGGTTTAGAGTTTAGGCGTCCGCATTCCTGTGCGTGCAGCAGGCTCTTGGCTTTAAGCATAGAACGCACTGGCTGCCGAGGGAAGCTGCGCATCATGGTAAAATGCGAAATCACAGATTGCGCACCGCCTCGCCAGATTCCACGCGGTCAGAAGCTCAAGAACAAGTACCAGCAGGCCATAGCATGGCTCTGTGGCATGTTCAACGTGGGTGCCTTTCCCATCATCCCTGCTTTTCTGGCCTTTTCTGCTAGGCTTACATGATTGAGATCAATCTGGCAGCACCGGCATAGGCCTTATTTCATACGTTTCGGCCCACGCCCGGCCTTCTTGAGTGACATGTCAGCCGTGCTGCTGCCCCACCGGCTATCATGTTACCTAAGCGCTTTCAGCAGAGTCAGAGTGGACTTGAAAGATCTAGGGGTTCTACCGCTTTGAGTCAGGAACCATGTGCTATGTGCAGCACCCAGGTGACTGCTAATCGCTACATCCAGAAGAAGTTCTACACAGACAATAACATTCTCAGGCGCTGCCGTCCAGCATCAAAGAAGAGAAGTATGTAGCGGGGGTCGTTGGGCGGTCAGATAGATAGAGGAAGAGACCATTGACAGACTCAAGTGACTCGGTTCCTCACGAGAAGCCTCACAGAAGCAGCATTTCATGAAATCCAATGATTCCAGGACAACATAAACTCACAACCCTAGTCAGCACGGTGGGCGGCAGCCTCCTTTTTAGTTGGTTGTGATTCCGCCTTGCTGACTTTACGTAAGTACCGTTTTGGTGTGCAGCCTGCAATCATCACCAGGATTAATGACTAGTCAATCCTTGTGTGAAGATGTCCCTACCTGACTTGATTGCTACGTGTACCATTCGCGTGACAGGCCTGCACAAAAACTGCGAACCCACCCACAGGAACACGCGCACGCCACGCACGGCTGCTCGGAAGTGTGGAACTTGTTCCTGCCCTGAGTTGTATGAACTTTTGTTTTTCATTGCTTGATGCCTGGGTGCACACACCTGTACGCTGTACATGCATGCCTCGGCCGACTCCCCCAAGGAAGAAGAGATCCATGCCCCCTGGACTTTAGACAGCACCCATACCCCTCACTGCACGCTAATTCAAGACAACATATCCAAGTGGTGGTTGATCTAAGCATCCTTGAGCCATAATTTGTAAGAAAGGCCAACCAACTCTCCATAGCTAAATATGATATGCCTTCGCGAAAGTTCCGCGATGGTGCCGCGAAAGCTAAGCTTTTGCAGAAGTACTGCTATTACTACTACTACCCACCACTACCACTGCCACTGCCACTACCACTACCACTACTGCTGCTGCTGCTGCTACTACTACTACTACCACTTACTACTACTACTACTACTACTACTACTACTACTACTGCTACTCCTCCTGCTGCTGCTGCTGCTGCTACTGCTGCAACTACTAGTGCCACCATCCCGAAGGCAGGAACCTGACGAAATTAGC